CAGACGGCATTAAATCTGAGCTGAGAGTGGTTTTGATGGTCACCTCTAACTTCTGAAATGAGGAGGAACAGCCACCAGTGGGAGGAGGAGTCATAGTGCACCTATTTTATGCGAAGCATCTCACTTGCCTTGGTCACATTTAATGTGCAACATGCTCTGGGATGGGAAATGCCACTACTCCCCTGTTGCCCAAATTCACAAGGGAGTGGGAGGGCAGACAGGGATGCAGGTCTGAGCATGAGTCCCAGACCTCCCGCTCTTCGTGCCATCTAGCCCTGCCTCTGCCCAAAGCACAGACAGAGTACTTCCCTGGTCCAAAGTTACCTCCAGAGGGAGGTCAGGCCAAGCTGACCCCTGTCCCAGACTTTTTGGGTCAGCTTGAACTGTAAATATTTTCTCTCTGGTTTTGCAACTCTCTGGCAGTTGGCTGCTGTGGCTGCACATTGGCGATAAGACTGAGTCTCGGAGCCGCCCACCTCACCCCAGGTTGCCATGGGCAATTTCTGAATGACTCCAGGTTGCCAATAGCAGTTACTCCAAGAGCTACATTCCAAGGGCATGCTGTAAATAGGGCCACAGTTCATTTTTCCATGATCTCAGAAAAACTAGAGGAGCCAGAGGCCAATCAGGCCCTGAGATGAAGTGAAGGCAGCCCTCAAGCCCCACCCTGCCCTGAGTGGCTCCCGGAGAGTTGGGCAGTGGTGAGTCCCATGTAAAAGGCCACCAGCAGCAGACTTAGCCCTCGGGAATCCCATTGCCTTCCAGAGACAGTGCCAGGAAAAGAAGGGTTCAGACATGACCTGGAAGAGGTTGGGGGCAAGAGGCAGGGGACCCCTCAGACAGCACCTCATCCCCACTTGTGGCCTCCTCTGACTGCTCTATCCAGAGGAGAGGCAAACGGAACCACATTCCCGAAATATGGTGATGTCCCCAAAGAGAGACCCCACAGGTCCCACACAGGGCTGTGGTCTCTCCAGGGAGCATGCATCCAGCAGGTGGACCATTGTGCCAGCCCTGAAGGGAGCCAAGGACTGTCCTTGAGGCCAGGGCCAGCTGGGTAAGAGCAAACAGATTGTTTTGGAACATTGTCTGGCACGTCCCCTTCAGCCAGCACGCAGGGCCCTGTATTTGTGGAGTCCTCTGCCTTATTTGTTGATCAGCACTTACCACATCCTTGAGAAACAGGTCAACACAGGTGGCCCTGTTACCCACAGGACCCATGTTTGGAAATCTGACCCGAACAAGGGCAGCTGGGATTCCTGGGCCACAGCCAAGGCCTCCCACTCCAGGCCTCTGCTACCCCTCACCATATGACACTCCTGTCCTTTTCCATCCTAAGATCCTGCTCTCCTTCCAACGCCCAGCTGCAAGTGCCTTTTCCTCCATGAGCTGCCTCTCTTTCCCTTCCAGATTTTCTACATCTGAACTTTTCAAACGTCTCCCAAGTTAAAGAGCAGAGCATAATGCTCCACCACATGTCACCAGAATCTGCAGCCACTGAGATTTTACCACAGTGGAGTCACTCTCCTCTCTCTTTTTTCTCTCTCTTTGTTTTCCTGAATTATTGGAAACTATCATGTCATTTGTATATTCTAGATTTTTTGTCTGTAAAATATAGGGGCATTTTCAAACAGAATTATATTATAGTTATTCTTTGATATTATTTATACTCAATTCATATCAAAATTTCTCCAGCAATGTCAATAGTTTTTCTAATGGTCAAGTTTTGGGGATCAAGTCCACAGTCAGGTTTGACCGTGTCTGAAGGTGTGGACTCACTTGCTCTATGGAACTTTCTGTGTGTGGCTTCTGCCTCCTCTTTTAGTTATGCCCTTCCTCTGCCCTTATCACGGGTGCCCTCCTAGTGCCCTCTGTAGAGCTGGCCTTGCTGTCTCTCTGGAGTGGAGCCTGGCAGAGCACCATGCCTCAGCAGCTTCCCAAGGGAGTGTAGAAACATCACTGGCTTGGAGGGACTGTGGAGTGCATTTGGTCTCTGCCACTTAAAACTTGAGATTATGAAGTGCCCAGCCCCATGACTGGGAGTCGCCGTCCAGTCAGAGGGCTCTGTACACAGAGCAGAGTGCAGGCCAGATGACCCTAAGATTCGCTGTGATTCTGCAGTCCTGGTACCCAGACCCTGGCCGATGCCAGACATCGACCTTGCCCTCCTCCTTTGTACTGTGAAGTATGGATATTCTTGTGGTTAAATTCCACAAGCTGGCATGGTCAGAGGGGAAACTAGGGCATAGTTTCTTGCTAATACCTTTTATACCCTGGCCGGGGGCAGGAAGTCTGCCCTCTCCTTCTTGAATGTGATATGTCACCTGGTGAGGCTGTGGAGCTTGGCCAGATACGCCAGGGTGGGGCAGCTCCCACCCTTTGTCCTGCCTTCTGATCAGCTCTCTCATCTCATAATCTCCGGGCTTGTTTATTTCTATAGCCATGTCTCTATGCTATATTGTGAACAAATGAGAAAATATGACTGGGATTATGGAATTCAGCTTTATGATTTATTTGTTTAACAAACTTTTTGAGTGGCTACCATGTGTCAGGCCCTGCCTAAATTTTAGGGTCCAAAGATGGCCAAGACCCTCCTTGCTGGCAAGATCATTGATATAAAAAGAGACAGACCATAGATACCATGGGGAAAGGAAGTCCAGGGCTACGGGAGACAGAACAGCTGTTTCATGTTTCCGGGGGCCAGAGAGCTTCCTAGAGGAGGTGGTTTCTAAACAGAGTTTTGAAGGATACGTAAGAGTTTTCTTGGAGAAGAGGGAGGGGGAAAAAGGAACAACATTGCAGATACTTTCCCAGGTGAGGCCTTAGCATATGGAAAGGAAGTTTCATTCATTTACCCTGGTTTTCAGAGACACATGTGATATGATTCACAACTGACACGTGGCCGTTATAAAACATAGGCCCCAGGGAGGTGAAATGATTTGTTCAAGAGGAGGAAAAGAAGTTAGAATGATTGTCACAGACTCTCTGGGAAGCCACTCAGCATCCTGGCCTTATTCCAGGCCCAGGTAACAACTTCCCTCCCCACTAGATAACAAAAATCTCTCATCTGTATTGGTCAAAGAGCTGGACCTGGAGGGTTCAGGCTGGGCTTTGTTCCTGTGTTGGGAAAGGAAGGAAGATCCACAGGAGTGGAAGCAGTAGCATCCAAGGCCTTCACAGTCTCCCCACCATCCCCTGGACTAGAAACCCGGAGCCAAAGCAACCCCACCTCTAGGGATAGGAACTTTCTCTTCTCAAAGCAAATGCAGACAGTGTGATGTTGGCTGACAGACAAATAGAAATACCAGTCTGTGTGATTAGCCCAGATTTTACAAGGGTGGGAATCAATATTTTGGCTCAGGAGCAAAGTCTTGAACTCCACTCTTCTTCTGTACCTTGACTGTATTTCACAAAGGGCAGTAGTCCAAGATGGAACCCTCCCTCATAAATGAGCTAATCTTGGTGTCTTCCTTCTAGGACAGTTGGCAGGATTTGAGGGGTTCTGTCCAAGTAAAATGCCCAGAGCAGGACTTGGTACCTGCAGCTCCCTGAAAAGGCTAACTGCTGTCACAGGGATATTTGCTTAAAACCAAGGTGACCCTCCATCTTGCTTGTCTGCTTTGAGGAGAGGACAGTGTGGTGGCATCGGCAGGGAAGCAGGTAGCATGTAAGGGAGGATGGACAGCCCAGGGGCCCAAGAGGTCAGTGAGGCCCAGCAGAAGCCAACAAAAGCAGGGTTGCAAGGCAGGATGGGACCTGGGGCAACCAGTGGAGGAGCTGGTGCCCGGTGGGTGTGAAGCCCACCCTGGTGGTGAGTTGCACACTGGAGAGGGAGGGGAGGTGTGGGCAGAATGGCTCCCGAGGGCATGGCCAGAGATTAGGCCAGCCTGCCCCAACAGCCCCTGGCTAGAGGTGCACTCAAGGGATTCCCTTCAGCCGCCAGTCTCACTTTCCCCATCTTTAACTGCAGATAATGCTTTCTCCCCTACAGGACAATATGCAGCTTTAAAGGAACAAAGCCTGTGATAGTGCACAGCAGAGGTGGGGACATGTTTCTACCTGGTCCCTAAGCTCTGCTGGCTTCACCTATACGATGGAGATAAACACAATCTCCTCTCCTCGAGGGAGTCAAAGATAGCACAGGACATAAAAAGGCTCCCGGCACCTAATAGAGCAACTGAGTCTGCAGCAGAGTGGGTGCCCCTGAAAGCCAGGAACCCAGGGCAGAGCGGCTGCCAGAACACTTTGCTGGATACTACAGGTAGGTGGGGACAGCTGCCCATGGAGAATGGCAGGTGCTACATAGCTCTGAATTGTGGGTCCAGCATCCTGCCAGGACCAAGCAAGTGCACCACGTGACAGAGCCCAATTTCACCTTGAGGCCAGTGCAAAGTCAAAGCCTGCAAGTCCTCTGTGCACGCCCTTCACCTTCTCTCTGGCTCCAAAGCCCTCTACACAGAGACTCCGCCACTATGGGACTCAGAGGCAGACGTCTCTCCTCTGGGTGACATTGACACATAGATCTGAGCCACACTTAGCATCCCCGGGGGCCCTCTCAGCCTCGGACAAAACAGCCTTTGGAGGGACAAGATAATGGTGATATACGTGGGGCCCGCCAGCCAGTTAGGCATGTGGCTTTAATGACTATCTTGGAGGTGACATTCCATTAGGGGTGATTGAACTTAATTTTAATGGCAGGATGACTTAATGTTTCATCACCCTCTCCCAGGCCTGAAGGTCAGTAGGAAAACTTTCTTTTCTCCAGGAATTATGCTACTAAATCCCCATAAAACTGTGCCATCTTTGGTTAATGCTAAAATCCTGAGGTGCTCTCCTACATAAACAGGTCCGTGTGTCAACATGGGTAGTGTCCCAGCTCAACCTCTGGTTGAACATAGATTCTACCACTCCCTAGTTTTATGGACTTGTGCAACTTATTTAACCTCTCTATACCTCAGTTTCCTTATCTATGAAGTTAGGTAAAAACAGTGTGTACTTACCTAAGATTGCTGTGAGAATCACATGACTTGAAGTATGCAAAATGCTTCAGATGGTCCCTGAAACCAGGAAGAGCAATGGAAATGTCAGTTGCTAGTTGAAATTGTCAGTTATTAGTGGCCTAGAAAAAGAATCACCTAAGTAGTCATACACAAAAGGTGTTCAAGAGCATGATTGATCTGATAGCAAGGTTACAGCAAGGGTAGCAGGGAGGAGTAGAGGGAAGAAGATGTGGAAAGCACACTGAGGTCCACTGCAGAGGCCGGAGCACATGGGTTCAGATGGTGCTGTGCATGACATCCCACCAAATGGCATTCCATTTATCTCACAAGGAGAGGGCGATAAGAAAGAAGCATTTCTTGAGGATCTTTGTTGACAGTGGGAATGGAAGGAAATAAATATATATATATGAAAGCCATTATGAAGGATCCTACAAGCCTCACTGCTAATTGGCCAAGAGGCTGAGTGAGAAGGGGAGTCTAGGGTGACTTTGAGGTGCAGTGAGGTGACTAGCCAAAGGAAGTGTCATCATTGGCACAGGGAAGCCAGAAGAGGAGCTGGTCAGGGGGAAGAAGCCACCTTGGTTTAGCCACATTGCCCTGGGGCTTGCAGCTAAGGGTTAAGGCCCAGCCACCAGGGCTGAGTGGGCCTAGGGAGAACTTGGGATCCCCTGGAGTGATGGAGAGGGGGCCTCAGTCCCTGGGAGTGAGCAGGGTGAGAGGGAAGCATGGGCAGTGGAGGACAGACACCAAGAACACTCACAGAGCCAGAAGCTGACAGCAGAAAGACTCCCAGGAAAGCAGCAGTAGGCTGGGCAGAAAACAGCTCCCGTGGAAGCAGTGAGCTAGGTGTCCATGGTTGGCTCTAGACTGACTTTCTCTTGTTGCTTCCAGATGTGACTAGGTCTGAGTGGTGACCATGAGCTGTGGTACCTCTCACAGTTCAGTGGAGGATAGAAGGTTCCAATGACATTGGACTCTGGATCCAAGTCCTACCTGTGTCACCTCTGAAGCCCGTATCCTCCTGTCCAGGAAGATAAGTTTCCTGAGAGCACTTAGGGTACCCCTTGATGGCCTCTGACTCAGGAGCTCTTTACTGTGCTGCCTGGCTCTCTGCTCTGCTGCTAGGACCCTTGGCTTTGATGCGACCTTGACATTAGCTGAGGTCACTCCAAGATCTCCCTTCCTGTCTTCTTGGTGTTGACTCATCCCATCCACCATGCATAACAGCTCATCCCTGGCCACCAAAGGCAATGGCTCAATTCTTATACTTCCTTCAGAATCACCACCCCCAGTATCACTCCTTCTGTTCCTTTCAATGTTCTCTGGGCCCCAGGAGCTAGCACAAAGATCCAGGGGTTGTATTGAAAGACAATATGTTGTTTAGCACTCAGCATTGCAGCCTTGATGGTCTGTTCCCTCTGACAGTTGGTCACTGTCTCTATATTAAGCTCAACACTTCAACAGGCCCTGAGCAGAGGGTAAGAGTGAGGACAGGTTGGAGGTGGCCTTTGTCCCTTTGTTGTGTCACCTTTTCTATACCTGGAGAGAGTATTGATGCCATTATTCCAGAGTGAGTCAGGAGTCTTTACCCTTCTGCTGAACAGGGCTCTGTGTTCCTTGACACATACTTGTAGTCACACAAGTAAAGCCACAGATATGGAAGCAGAGATGTGTGGAAAGCCATGAGTTTGGAGAAAGCAACTTCTGCTGTGACTCAGGACCTCCTTGTGATCAAACCAACCACAGATGTCAGGGACCCTCTGAGATGGCCCCCAGGGGTCTGTCCTGCCTTTGTACTGTCCCTCCTCTCACTCAGTAGGCCTGACCCTTGTGACCTGTAGGACATCATGGGAATGATTATGTGTGACCTCTAAGACAGACATGGTGGATTCCACCTTGCTTTTTTGGATCACTCTTGGGGAATCTAGTTGCCACCTTGGAAGGACACTCAAGCAGCTGCATGACCAGGACATGTAATGAGGACTTAAGGTCCCCTGCCAACAGCCAGCATTAACTTTCCAGCCATGTGACCATGGTGCCATCTTGGATGACTTTAGCCTTAACTGCCCTCCCAACCACAGTCTTATGGGAGATTCTGAGCCAGAACCACCCAGCAAAATTGCTCCTGGACCCTGACCCACAGAGCCACTCTTGAGGCTGATTTATTACACAGCAACAGATAGCTGAGACATCATGGCAGGTACACAGGGACTCCTGACTTAGCCTGAGTTCCCTAACGGTTCTCACTTCTGACCTATGTCCCATCCATTGCTTCTCCCTGAGAAGCTTCTGTTGTGCAGCAGGCTGCCCTAAGGCACTCAGTGCCCGGCATTCCTGCAGTCTGGATCACAGCAGGAACCTGGGTATTCTTTCCCCGGCTGTGAAGTTAACTTTACTTGGAGCAGTGTGGGCCTCAGACTGTGGGCCTATGGTGATTGGCAGAGTCAGGCAGCAGATTGGTAGGAGGTCATGTGTTGGCACATGGCTTCTGGGCTCTGATAGGCAACTGCTTCTCACATGTTCATCCTCTGGGGCACCCCTCCCAGCACAATGCACTCAGCTCTGAGAGTCCCTCTCAAGTAAATACCCTCATGGTCACAAGGAGATAAGAGTTCCAGGATTTGAAACCAGGGAAGATGGTGCCAATGTATACTGTGCTCTAGGACCAGCAAAGCCCACCTATGCTCCAAGAGCTGCTGGGAGATGTAGCAAATCCCATCATTTCAGGCACTACATAGATGCTAGTGGGAGAAATAGAGGACTGAAGGGACAGCGGTCTTGCACCTTCTGTTCCTCATAGAGGAACACAGGGCAGGCAGGGGTGAGCTGTGTCCTGGAGCTCACACTTTCACAGGACACTGACATGGGCTATCCTGTGAATGGGGAGCCTGGTAGGCCTTAGGGCTTGGGAGGAGGAAGTGAAGAGCTGGGGTAGTGGCTCTGCAAGGGGATCTCACAGACGTCCCATGACTTCAAGTCATCAGCTTGGTCCAGAGGGGATCCAGCTTGCCCTGGAGAACAAGGTGCTGAATGGGTAAGTGAACCTTGGGGAGATCTCTGCCTGAAAGAGGGTCCCATGGACTTCCGGGACAACTCATGGTACTTGGGAATGGATGAGCTGCCTATTACAGGAGCTACTCCATCCCAGTCACGTGGGATGGGGGAACCAGAAGGTGAGAGGACAGGACAGGTCCTCCTGGACAGGTTTGTTGTTCTGGACCATGGACTCCCCCTCTGAGAGCCCCTATAATGTCCAGTGGACTGAAGGGAATGTCCAATCCTCAGCTGTTCTCTGTGACCTCTTTCTGTGTGGTCTGGAGCACTAGCCTTGGCAGATAAGGGTTCTTTGTCCTTTTAGCATTTTTGAAGAAAGCAGGGAAAAGCATTCCAGGGCCCTGTCACTCCTGGACAGCGTATGTGTCACACCACAGGCCCTAGCATCATTGCTTAGCCACTGAGCTTGTGAGTCCAACTCTAGTCATTTTTTCTTCTCAAGTCCTTAACCATACAGAAATGTGGCCGTTCAGAAGCCAGTGCTGTGGTTCTGGATATGGCAGGATTTTGGACTTTCCCTTGGGCAGATAGGTAGGACAGAGGGCCACAGTGTTGTGTAATCCCCAGGGGAGCAGAGTCAAGCCCAGCCTTCATTGTCTAGAATCCCCTCTCAGGCTGTCAGCATTGATCCCCAGCTCCGCCACTCCCAGCCCCTGTCAGGTCAGTCCTCATGTGGCTCTGCTGATAGCATGAGCTTGGGTTAAGGACATAATCTGTGGCCCCCATTAATAACATCAAATGTATCCTCCCTGGGCCACTGCAAAAGCTTGCAATGGGGGCCTCCACAACCAACTCAGTTTGTTCCCCTGGGAAGAGCTCAGATTGGTGGGAACTGGACATTTGTCCCCTGCCTGCACCCCATGCCACTCAGTGCTGTCCTATGAAGTCAGCAACAGAGGACCTGAAGTCTCCTGAGGCAGCTGCTCCTACAACTTCCACCACGCTGAGCTCTGATCTCAGAAACAGAGGAACCCACAGAGGAGCTGCAAGTACTCAGGCTGTGGGGTCAGGAACTCTGGAGACTCCAGTTGGCTTTTCTCTTTCTGTGTGCAGCAGATGTGCAGTCAGTCTTGCAGCATCTGGGCTGATTCTTGCTCCCCTGCAGAGGGAGGTGAAACAAAGCTGTGACCAGAGACCTTAAGCTGGGACAATAGCTAATGCCAGAATAGAAGGACTGCTCTTCCAGGACCTCCAAGAGAAATGCAGATAATGGAAGGAAGCAGAGAAGCAGTTGCAAATTTTTAAACTGAAGGAGAGCTCAAACACAATAAGGAAGTCAGGTAGGGCTGAACCCAGCTGTAGCACTGAAGGCTGGCAAAGAAATATTCAGAGTCAAGAGTCTTCTCTTCCCTCATTATAGCCCCTACTTCCTGTTGTTGAAGTCTATTTAGTGGCTAGTTTCATTCCAAAGTAGAAATTATCTCTTCTTATTGGAAAAATAGCGATCCCTCTGTTGACCTCATCTTTTACAAATATTCAGGAGAATCTGTCCCTTCATGGAAAGATGCATCTTGTGGACTTCCCTGGCTGCCCTTTCATCCTTCGCCCTGTCCTTTACCTCCAAAGTCAGATTTTGAGCTAGGGAAAAATATCTGGCAACTGTGAAAAATATAGGCTTACCAAGAGCCCAAGGAATTGGTAGGGCAAGACTTTAGTTTGTTTTTCTGAACTGATAAATCATTTTCTTCATTCATAGATCAAAATTAGACAAAAATAGGGCCAGGGATTTAGCTCAGTGGTTCTGCCTCCTGCCTCGCAAGTGCGAGGACCTGAGTTTGATCCCCTGTACCAAAAAAAAAATTAGACAAAAATGTTGCTTCAACTCTGGGTCCCATCAACTTCAACCCAAGTAAACACTTCTGTTAGTGTCTTGGATGTCTTTATCAAATATAAGTAGATGTGTGTGTTTTACTTTTTCTTTCCTCCTTTCACAGAAAAAAAAAATACAATGGCTCTTAGAAGAATGGAAGGATATTCAATCCTACTTATGTTCAAAGAAATGCAAATTAAGACTAAGGAAATAACCAGGTGGTGCTGCTGCTGACCAAAGTTCACATTCTCTGCTAACTGCTTTGGACTTCACTCTCTTCGCTTGACTCTGTATCTTGGACATCTTTCAAATCAGTACAGCACATAAAGAATGTCTCATTCATTTTTACAGCTTTATAGAATCCTATTTATGGACACACAATAAATCTATCTAACTATGTTCTATGGATAGACATTTGATTTCCTTCCAATCTTTACTACTATAAACAGTGCCGCCCAGGACACTTCCTCTATGTGCTGATACGTCTGTAGAATATATTCCAGTAAGTAGAACTGCTGAGTCAAAGGGCAAGCATGTTTATAATTTTGGTAAGGGTTTCCAGATACCCTCAATGCGGGATGCTAGTAATGTATGACAGGCCCTCTTTCTTCAGGGCTTGTCACTTAGGCACTTCATTGTAGTTTTAATTTGCATTTCTCTTATTAAAGGGAGATTGAGCACCATTCCATTCTTTCAAAAGCCACTGGCAGGCCGGGGATTCAGCTCAGTGGTGCTGCCACCTGCCTCGCAAGTGCAAGGTCTCGAGTTCGATCCCCAGTACCAAAAAAAAAGCCACTGGCATTTCCTTTCCTGTGAGCTCACTGGTCACATCCTTTGCCTATCTAAACTAAATTTGTATTGCTGGCTTTGATCTTTTTTCTTAACGATTTTTAGGAGCTCTTTATGTGTGGAAGGTGATTAACTCTCTGTGATAGGAACTGCTTCATATTATTCTTTGTCTTTTGATTTTGTTGATGTTTTCTATGTGTAAGTTTAAGAAAATTTCAGGGTGACATAATATTGTAACCTTTATTTTTTTTAGTATGGATTTTGGATACAAGGAAAGCTTTCCATATTCCAAAGTTCTAAAGGAATTTGCCCATGTTTTCTTCTAGTATGTTTATAGGTAATTTTTTTCAAAAAATATTTTTATCTATGATCCACTTAGAGTTGATCCTGGGGCAAAATATAAGGTGTGGATTGAATTTGACTCTTTGTCAGCTATCTGATACCATCAACTAATAGCATTCCTAGAGCAATTAGGACATCATCTTTATAACATACTGAAATGATTAGGTCTATTAGTGTATTTACTAGTTCATTCTGTTATTTGAGAATGTCTGTCTGTCCGTTATTCAGTACTATGCTATTTTCATTACTGAAACATTATATATTGAATGTGGTATAGATACTTTATACCCCCCATACACACTACTCTTGCTTTTCTTTTCCTTTTTCTATTTTTTCCTGGCTATTGTTTTTAAATTTTTTATTAACATGAATTAATTATATGTATTAATGGGGTTCCATGTGATATTTCAATGCATACACACAACACTTATCAAATCTAGTCTCCCTCATTCCCTTCCTGACCTTTAGTACTGTAATCTCTATTATGCATTTGAAATTCCATTAAAAGAAAAACTTGTGCATAAAAGACAGAACATGCTGCATTGTCTTTTTGGGTTTGATTTATTTCACTTAGCATAATGTCCTCTAGTTCCATCCTTTTTGCTGTAAAAGCCAAGATTTTATTTTTCTTTATGGATAGATAATATTCTACTGTGTATATAAACAACATTTTCTTTATCCATTCATTGATGGGCACCTAGACTAATTCTATATCTTAGGTGTTGTTCATTGTTTCCTGGCTATTCTTGCTTGTTTCATTTTGTATATGTACTTTAAAGTCAGCTTTGTAGGTTTTTTTTAAAAGATTGATATTTATATTGAGATAAAATTAAATTTGTAAAGTAATTTAAGGATATCAACATGGCAGCAAATCTTCCCCTCTCAGAAGGTGGTTCCTCTTCCTACTGGCTCTGCTCTTCCTTCGCATTTTTAAAGATTTTTCTCTTAGATATTCTGGGTGTTCTCATATTAGTTTATTTGAAGATATTTTATTGTTTTGCTTTTGTTTTCTAAAAAGGATACTTTGGGGCCAGGGATTTAGCTCAGTGGTTCCGGCACCTGCCTCGCAAATGCAATGTCCTGAGTTCGATCTCCGGTACCAAAAAAAAAAGGATACTTGAAGGATATATCGCTTTCCTCCTTATAGTCTTTACCTGTTGCTACTTATAGATATCATGTTGTTACCCAGTATGCTAGTTATATATAATGGTATACTATTAAATCTCATTGGTTGTAGGTTTTCCCTGCAGAAATCCTGTAATTTAAATGATATATATGAACCAAGTGTGGCGGTGCACACAAGTAGTCCTAGCACTCTGGGAGGTTGAAGCAGGTGGATTGTTAGCAATCTAGAGAGACTTTGTCTCAAAATAAAAAACAAAAATGGACTGGAGATGTAGCTCAGTATGAAGGTCCCAATATATAAAAAAGAATAAAAATATTACTTAGGAAAGCATCCAAATTGGGCATTTTGGCAATCAGAAAAAGGCAGCCCCAAATAGGCTTCAGGAAAACTGTGATTGGGATGGGATACTTCAGAGCTTGCTGCCTGAGAATTGGGGATCTTTCAGGAGGGTAGAATTTGAGGGACATAATCCAATTTCAGAAGCTCATTTTGCACCAATATTAAAAATTACTTGGAAAAGAACTTGTAAGGTTGTGTGTGACCTACAGTGGAGCTTATGCTCATTGGCCATAGATACTGTAGCCCAGAAAGGGACACTGCAGGGACATTGGCTACCGAGGCCCTGGGTCCTTAACTTTGAGCCCCTCCTGACCATGGACACCCAATGGCTTCCTCTCTGGGAACATGGAGAAAGTAATGGAGATCTGTCATCCATCCATTCCCTTAGAGATGAAAAGGAAAATGGAATCAGAAGGTGACCTGAGAGGGCCAGCAAGGAACAATGGTCACATTCTTCTTGGGTCTGGCATTGATCTACGGCAGAAAAAGCAGATCTGGTGTCAAAATCTCAATACCTTAGGGGATCCACTATAGTGTATTCAACCAAAGACTTGGGGGTTCATCTGAGGCTTGCAGCTCTTTTAGAGAACAAAGTTTAATTTCTTCTCCATCTTCACCCATCACAGCTAAGAGGAAAGAATGGATCTGCTGTCAAGCACCTATGGATTATAGTCAGTGCCATCTGGGCACTATTTATTGAGTAATCAAACCAGACTTTCAGAGTATTCTCTCTGCCTTTATGGATGAAGAAATGAAGAGGGCACTTCACTTGCTCAAGACTAGGAAGCAGGGCAGGGAGGTAGGGCAGGACTTTGAGAAAGCAGCTCTACCTTTACCTGCTTTACCTGTGGGTTTCCCATGCAGTTTTGGATTGAAGAAAGGTTTCCACTTCTGAAGAACCTGTGTCCTCCAGAAAAATCTATTCTTTTAGGCTTTTTACTCCCAGCAGTGGGTATTGCAAGGGCAGTACCACCCCATTCCTGTCCCTCTTCCAACCCTACCACTGCCATGAATCTGGGGGGCCCCCCATGAGATACCTTGTCAGAGGAACCTCCGGGCTGGCAGATAGCAATGGCAATGGTGAAGAAGCTGGGTCAACCTCCCCAGCATTGTCTGGTCCTCTCTGACACACTGTCACAGCCAGCTTCAGACCAGAAGGCACTGCAGGGCACTGAGACAAACAGTGGTGCCTCAGTTCATGAAATTGATTCTTTCCAACTGAGTTGGACAAGAACTGAATCAAATTCAGTGCTTAGGTTCAATGTTGACCTTGTGGCGAAATTTGATTTGGTTCTTGTCCACTTTGGTTTGCTACCAGAATTGTGGAGAATTGAGTTTGTGAACCAAGCTGCCACTGTATAACAAAGAAACCCTTTCATCAGCCAGCCAGTCCCATCCTTCAACATCACAGCAGAAGGATTCTCCAGCCACTGTGCCAGGAACTCAGCAACATTTTCTGTAAGAATCAGAAACTCAAACCCAGCTGAGGAGCTACTAAAGAGCTTGAATTCCTTAGATGCTCCTACGGATTGAATTTTCTTTTACATATAACAACCAAAGCCCCTGGTGCTTTAGTTATCATTGTTATTCAAATGTTGTCTAAAAGCCCTAGAAATAAGAACTTCAAAAAAATTTTTTCTTCCTGCTCCTCCTCTGGTTTCCCAGCTGGGTTTCATGTATGTGGTGTGATCAAACAATATAGTGACTGTTAAATTTTTTTTTAATGTATTACAGTAAAAGACACATTATTATAAATCCCACTCAAAATACTCCCACTCACTTGAAACACACTTATCCCATCAGTTTTGCTACTTGCTAAAACAGTTCTAGAAGTACTCTTTCGTGAGTATCTTTAGTTGTGCTGTCTCAATATTCTGAATCAATTAAAAACATTGCCCTTTCATGGTCATTTGGATTTTGGGGAAGAGCCAAAAGTTACACAGTGACAGATCCAGTTAATAGGGTGGCTGGGAGCACATAGTAATGGTTTTTTATGAGCCTACTTGGCTCTTGGCTGCAGAATTCACACTATTTTTGATCACACCTTGTAAAGACACCAAAGAAGAATTCTAGAACTGCTTCAGAACATAGTAAGAAAAATAGTGTATTTGAAGTGAGGGGGAATATCTTGAGGGGATTAATGACAATGTGTTTTTACTGTAATAAACTTTCAAAATTTAAATATTTACCATATATTTCAATCAAGCCTTGCATGTATATTCTGCTTTGTCACCACCTATTCATTTTTTATTTTTTGTATTGGGGATCGAACTCAGGACCTTGCACTTGCGAGACAGGTGGCAGAACCACTGAGCTAAATCCCTGGCCCACACCTATGAATTTTTAAGAAAATGTAATTCTTAATAGCCTTGAACCTTTGTACTAAGCTCATCAAACTGCATGGTAAAGAGTATTTGGGGGCTGGAAAGTAATATTTACAACACATTTGTTTATGGCAGCCTGTGCATGTCAGATCCTACAGAGCTATGTATCCTGTGTCACCGTAGAGGAGAGAGCTGCCCAAGGACAATTTGTTCTACTGGCTGATTCCAGGTTTACCCATGTTAAAGCCAGTGTTGTGCCATGAGGATCTGACTGAGAATCCCATTCCACACCACAAATCCATACAACCATGGTCAGAAGCTTGATGGGATGAAAGATGAGCTGTGGTACAAAGAGGCCCTCTAAGAAGACTTCCCACTGGCCTGTGTCTTCAGGGAATGGATTCTAAGTCCAAATAGCAGGAACTTTCCTTGTTTTCTTCTTCTTTTTTTAAAATTATCATTCCTCATACAAATAAGGTTATGAGCCATTATACAACAGGCACATCCAATAAATAAACTAAATGAGAAATAGATGGGAAGAGAAATTGCTTTCTGACTTATTCTACATGGAACCACCTGGAAATGTCGCAACGTACCGTATATATCTGTATCACCACGGAGAGATGCCCAGAGGCTCCCAGCTCCCAACAGTGTTGAAGGGTCTTGACTTTGAGTGTTTGACTACATGTCCCTGAGTGACTGTTCTCAACAACTAGCCCTGCATGGGGACAGGGTGTGAGCCACATCTCTCCCAGAAGGCAAGGCCAGTCTCCAAAATTGCTACTTTCAACCCCTTTGTCTGCATTACCTTATTTTTTAACATTTATTTATTGCAAATTGATAACATTGTGTTTGTTTATGGAGCACCAAGAATGTTGTGATTTATGAATACAATAAGGAAAAATGAAATCAAGTTAGTTAACATATTCATCACCCCACATAACATTTTTTTGTGATGAAAACATTTGAATTTGAATTTTTTATTAGTAGGTGTTTACAATACATAATGAATACGTTCATTGTGGAGAATTGGCACATAGACATACCACATCTTGGTCCTTTTTACTTCCCCTTGTCCTCCTCTCTCTCTCTCCTCTCCCCTGTCTCCCAAAAGTGACCATAGCTTGCCCTGCTGGGCCTGCTTCCTTTGAACTAGTGTTTGTGTGGTGGGCTTGCTGCAGGTTTTCCTGAGGGCTGGTGCGCCGGGCCAGGCAACATAGAGCTGCAGGAATAGTGGTCTTACACTCCATCCAGAGGTCTGGCTGAAGGTCAGCCAGCAGCCGGCCATGGGACCTCAGCCTTCCCTGCAGCAGGAAGCAGTGGGAAGAGGTTCTCTTTTTTATTTCCCCAAAATGTGCATCCCCAAAGCCCACGGAGAACCAAATGCTGGACAGAGCCTAACTGTGGGCTAAGGAAGCTGCAGTAAGCCTGAGACAGGAAAGCGTGGGTGTTCACCACCAAAGCCAATCTGAAGGCGTCTTCAAGGGAAAAGAGTCTAAGAATACAGGAGGAGGCTGTGACGCACGGATTTTTTTTCCAGTGCTGGGGATGGAACTCAGGGCCTTCACAATGATCTACATCCCCATCCCTTTTTAAGACAGGATATCACTAAGTCACTAAGATGCCCAGGATTGCATCTGAAGTGCTGTTCTCTTGCATCAACATCCCAGAGGAAAAGACCATTTTTATGTCTAATTTAGCAAGTCCAGATCTTTGGCACCCACTCTGTGAGGCTTCCATGCATCTTCTGAAGATGCTGCCAGTTGGTCCAAGGAGAAGGCAAGGCTGGCAGAAAGGCCATTGCAGGCCTTCCTCTCAGCACAAGAGCAGGCAAGGAGATGGTCAGGCCTGCTGGGCCTCAGGCATCACTCCCACAGGATCGCTTGAAGGCCCCTTCTAAACACCTGCCTCTAGCTCCCCAGCTCCAGTCTTCATGTCCTGCCAACAAGAACTAAGTCTCACCGTGGGAAATGGTGTCCTGGACCATGGAAGACTTAAATTATTTTGAAAGGCTTCCAAAACCAGGACACTCCACACCCTTCCATTACAGTATGAAAATGGCTCAGTGCAAGAAAATTATTCTTATACCTGATTCATTTCTTTACATATGCTCATTTAATTTCATTTCCTGGGAAATCACCACTTGGTAATTCAGTGAGGACCGTCATGGGAGTTTCCCCCAAACTGACTCCAGATTCATTACAAACTTGGCTCCCGAGACCCAACACACGACTGAGACCATGAGACCATCATATTCATACTCTCTCTCTCTCTCTCTTTGTCTCTTCACTTTGGGTCACCATCTTAGTACATCCCACCCTACACAACCTCAGAAACTAGGGAAAAACTTCCATTTTAGTTTTGATATTACAAAGCTGTCTGTTTTGTAGCTCTGAAGTTTTAGTACTAAAAATGGTACTAATTGATATCGTAATACTTTTTTTGCCTAATGGACTAAGGTATCTGCAAATATAATACAAATACACCAATTAATGGTACATTTCTTTATAAGTCAGAGTAACAGTGAAAGACACTTAATGGACAGAGCCCATTATCATTTAAAGCTATAAATTCTAGTGTTTGGAAAAAAATTATGAATCAGATAATTCACACTAAGAATGCTACTGTTTTTTTTTAAAGACAACTTCTGATACTATCAGAATCTCCTGATAACAGAATTTGAAGGTCTAGGCGGATTACTTCCCCTAGTTTTTTGTTTCGTTTTGTTTTTTGTACCGGGGATTGAACTCTGATCCTTGAGCTTGTGAGGCAGGCAGCGGAACCACTGAGCTAAATCCCCGGTCCTCTTCCCTTAGATTTTTGACTCAGGTTATTGTAGTTCTTGCTGTCTGATTTATACCAATATTTAGATATCAACAATGATACCAATGATGAGCATTTGTGTAGATATGCTTGAGGATGATATTTTTCTTTCTGTTGATACCAGCTCTATTTCTCTGCCAACTGCTCTTTTAGATGTAGATCCTTGGTGTGTTAAGTTGCCGGGCTGCACTCAAACTTGCAATCTTCCTGCCTCAGCCTCCTAGAGTGCAAGGATTACTGGCATGTGCCCCACACCCAGCCTAGACTTTGACTGTGTTCTGCAAAGAAAACAGGTAATGTACTCTTTGCTAAAACTGTCTGGAGCACACAGTTGCTGGACTTATTTAGTACAACATGTGAGATGTAAAAAAACCTTTGGGAATCTGTGGACACCGAGGGTGTTGCTCAGTGATGACAAGGAACAGGAGGAGGAGACACTGTGATTCCTTACACCAGACACCGTGTCCAGGTTCGGTCATGGTAGGATGTCTCTCTTCTGTTTCTTTCTTTGACTGTTGAGTTTCCTGCCCTTTCAATATCTGCTTAACTAGAGAATGAAAATGCCTTCGCCCAAGGAAACAGCAGAGAGGCGAAGTCACAGGGCCACAGCGGATCTCAGAGCTGAGTTGCAGGGAAGGAGGCTGAGGGTCGCATCCTGCCTCAGCCTGCAGGAAGGAGACACCCAGAAAGGGGACCTCCAAGCCCGAGCACCGTGAGGTGGTCCTGTGCCCCTCCTGGGGCGGGGCCTGCCGGTAATGGAGTGTGTGGGTGTCCAGGTCAGTGTGTGTACCAGGGGAGAGACATTCATGTGCACGCTCATTTTCCATTCCCACCTCTCAGGAGTGTGAAGGGAGGGTTAGGTGGGGAATGGAGATAGTAAATTGTTTGGGTTTTGCTGTGGCTTGATTGGGTTTTTTGTTGTTGTTTCGTTTTGTTTTTTGAGGTACTGGGAACTCAATCCAGGGCCTTCATACTGAGCTACATCCCCAGACCTTTTTAAAATTTTTTATTTTGAGACAGATTCTCACAAAAGCACTAAGTTTTCCAGGCTGAAGTGGAACGTACAATCCTCCTGTCTCAGCCTCCTAGAGTGCT